GGCTTTACAAAGAAGAAGAAGCCAGCCATGCATCAGCAGCGAGATCCTCATGCAAAGAAGCAGCTTCTTCTTGGATTTATGCACGACATGTTGTGGACGGTATTGGGGCTCCACTGACCATAGACTACGCCCGGACTTGGTGAGACCACCACTTGATTACTCCAAAGACATTACAAATGTTGAGTGGGCTTCAGAGTCGAGGATGACCACCAGCCACTGTTTGCTTCTCCTACAGAGCAGGTGTCCTAGTACTTTGCTTCGCCAGTGCTAGCCCCGTAGTTCACACCGGCTAGGACGTCTTCACTGCTTGTGCCAGAGACCACAGTGTCCAGGAGTCTTGGTGCTTCATTCAATGAGTTGACAGGGATGCCTACTCCTCCATATCTACATGTCCCAGGTCCTTCTATAGTTGCACCTGTTACCGGGACTACAGAGATGCTCCCTTCCTCAGTGGCATCATCAGAGCCTACTATAGTCCTACCAGCTCAGTCTACAACAGCTCTAGTTCCTGATCCGACCTAGACTGCTACAGCACCGATTACAGCTACAGAGGGTCATACAGCTCAGAGCTCCAGATCAGATGATGATGGTGCCTAGTTCCAGCTTGCTCCTCGTACCTCAGCGCCCGGCTCGTCCGCTACAGCCCCACCGACCGACCCTTAGGTTTTGGTGTTTGACGCCAAAGGGGGAGAGGGATCGAGTATGATATATTTAGGGGGAGCGACATTTTTAGGGGGAACTTAGTTATTATATTAGCTTATATATTACATTTGGAGTTTTTATGTGTGATACACTATTATGCTTTTATCGTGTGTTTACCTTTATGCATTGAACTATATATATGTGATAGTGATATCTACGTGACTGTGATATATGACATGTGTGCTCTCTACTTTGAATTATTTATATGTCATATCACTTGTGTTATGCTCATTTGCCTGTGGTTTCGCGTTTTACTCCGATGCAAATTAGCTTTATTACTTGTACTCATGCTTATTTCATATCTTTTGAGTACATCATGTTGGCTTGGTTCATATAAGCTTGACTAACACCTTTGTTCTTATTGACAAAAGCTTATATGATCCAAGCATGTTAAAAACCTCAACTCTTTCACATACTCGAGGTGGTATTGTCATCAATCATGAAAAAGGGGGAGATTGAAAGCATCTAGGCCCCTAGTTGGGTTTTGGTGATTAATGACAATACAAGATTACTATGACTAACGTGTGTTTTGCAGAGGCAATTAAGTTATGTCATGGTAATGGAGATCGATTGGGCAATCATGGTGGTCATGCCCCTACGATGGAAATCGTTTTAGTTTTCAAAGGATGGACGACAAGGTTAAGGATGACTAGTTCTAAGTGTCGATTGGAGTTGGAGAGACACTTAGAGTAGTTTAGGACTTTGTTTTTCCTTTGGCCGTACTATTAAGGGGGGTATGGATGGGTAGCTTGACCTAGGTGAGTCTAGTGAATTAGGTGTGGTGCACACTTGTCAAAACTAGCGCTAGGTAGATCCTACATATGCCTAAGATCCGTTGGAGCAAACTTCATTCACGTATGATCGAGAGTTGGCACAGAGTCCGGTCAGTTCATTTGACCGAGGTGAAATTGTTCGATGCGACCGGACGCTGGAAGGTCATGTGACCGGACGCTGAGAGCCAGCATCCGGTCATTTCCAGTAAGTTTCCAAAGAGGGAAAATCGTGACCACACTGTAAACACTGGAGTTCGGGGTGTACTGACCGGAGCGTCCGGTCACCCCACAGAGGCACATAACGGTTCATTTTCAGCCCATGTTATAAATAGAAGCTCCACTCGTGTGTGGAGTCACTTTTGCTCATTCCAACAGCTGAAACACACCTTAGAGAGTGGGAAGAAGAGCAAGGTTCTAGTGAGGTGATTGAGATTTGAGAATCCCAAAGAGAGCCCTCATTAGTGAGATCAAGAGTAGCAAAGTGTGCATCCACCCTTCTCCCTAGGCTTGTCGTGGTCAAGTGAGAGTTCGTGCTTGTTACTCTTGGTGATCGCCATCACCTAGACGGCTTAGTGGTGATTGGAGAGCTTGGTGATCATCCGGAGAGCTTGTGGATGACCCAACTCAAGTTGTGAGCGGTTGTGAGTGATTCACCGCGACGGAGTGTCAAAGAATCAACCCGTAGAGAGCACTTGATCCTTGCGCGGATCAAGGGGGAGCTACACCCTTGCGCGGGTGCTCCAACGAGGACTAGTGGGGAGTGGCGACTCTCCGATACCTCGGCAAAACATCGCCGCGTTCCTCCTCTATTTACTTTGAGCATTTACTTTGAGTATTTCCTTTGAGTAATTACTTTGAGTATTTACATTGAGCAATTCAATTCTTGTCTTTACAATTCATAGAATTGCCATGCTAGAGTAGGATTGGAACTTAGGTTGCAAGTCATTTGTGCGGTAGAACAACTAGAAACACTTTTTGGGCACAAGGGGTTAATTGGGCTAACCGTAGGATTTAATTATTGCAAAGAAATTTAGAATTAACCCAATTCACCCTCCCTCTTGGGCATCTTGATCCTTTCAATTGGTATTAGAGCCTCATGCTCACATATTTAGGCTTAACCGCCTAGTGAAAGATGTCTCATGGGGATGGACCACCTCCTATCTTTGAGGGGGACGATTTTCCTTATTAGAAAATTCGTATGGAGACGTATCTAGAAGCTCTAGATGTTGGAAAACTTAAAGCTGTCTCACAAGGTTTCCCAAAACCTCGGGATGCCGCACACCCACAAGGCGATGAGTTGAACTATGAAAAATGGAATGCAAAGGCTAGAAACACCATATTTAGAGGCCTTTGTAAAGATGTGTTCAATCGGGTGAGGAACCACAAAGACGTCCATGCACTATGGTCGGCCGTTTGTGCGCTCCATGAGGGAACAAAGAGTGAGCGTGAGGAACACTATCATCTTGTCATGAAAAAGCTCAACTCTTTTGAAATGCTTCCTAACGAATGTGCTAATGAAATGTATTCATGTTTAAATGTATCGACCGTGCGCACGCCAGTGGGAGCGCTACCGCCTCCCCACCGCCGCTAACGCGTCTGTGTCCGCCGTGGCTCATCACGCGCACGTGGCCCACCCTGCTCAGGTAGTCACCGGCCGAACCACCACTTCGACTATGTTTGCGATGTGCCCCTGGTGCTTCTCCCCTATCTCTACCGTCTGTTAGCGCTGTAGCTCACCGGGATGACCGCGGCGCCATCATTGGCGACCGTGCGCGGTGGCAGCTCGCTCCAGTGCGCCCTGTTGCTCTGTATCGCCGCTTAGGGTAGGCGTTAGGGTCGTAGATGGGGTTCGGCTTGTTAGTTGGGTCGGTGTGAGCCTCGAGTGGCCGACTGTGGGGGGTACAACCCTAGATACCCACGGTAGACCACATGGGCTACACCCCCAGGGGTGGCCCAGACCATGAGATGAAGCCTTGCGGAGCACGGCGCTGCTCGGCACGTCCCGCAAGACACCGGGAAGATATCCTGAAGATACTATGAGATCTGTTAGGATACATATGATCACATGATTCCTGTAATCTGTTATTACTTTCTGGTTATCTCCTAGATCTAACCAATTTGTAACCCTGCCCCCCAGACTATATAAGGTGGGCAGGGACCCCCTCAAAACATACGTCATATCATACGATAGCCAATACAATCCAACAGACCACAGGAGTAGGGTATTACGTCGCGCTGATGGCCCAAACCTATCTAACTCTTGTGTCTCTGTTGCCTTCTTGTTCTCAATTACACGCATCTCTGCCAATCACCTTCATTTGCTCTAGTAGTGCTTCCTATCATTGCAGAAGCCGATAAGGCATGGCTGCTTACAATTGATGCAAGTGGGGAACTCCTTGCTCACCAAGTAGTACCTCTAGCACCATTTGCAGCCACCGAGCACCAGCACCAGCACCAAGGTTTCATCCGATGAAATGTCTGGTGATACACATGAGCTAGACGACGAGTCATTGTTGTTACCACTATCAACCTCTACCCTCCTTGTGGTAGTGCCAGGCGTAGCTATAGGTCCAACTGTGTGCTCCTCGCACTACTTCCACCAGAGACGCACTTCTGTTAGAATGGTACATTTGACCATGTTGTTGGTAGGTGGTCATTTGAAGAAGGCAAATGCAAAACAATCCTTTGAAATGCCATGACAAATGTTTGGTGGATTGGTTTCATAGGTTGGCTTCACCAAATAAATGCAGAAGAACCCAAGGATCTATCCAAATTCATAGTAATATGTTTCAAACAAACCTTGAAAAGAACTTATTAATTAGAGAATCTTGACAACTATAATCATTACTACCACAACATTAAGAACCACCTAGTCCACACCCCATACAAGAACATAAAAATCCTGCAACATATAGGAAACTAAGCTTTGACTCTACCAGCCCACTACTAAACCAAATAGACGCCCCTGCTATAGACCTAATTTCCCCTCGTGCATCTGCTCCCATCAATATGGTTTTTCCACATTCGTGTGTAGGACATCTACTATCACCACATTTTTCCATTTTGTGCTTAATCAACATTTTGATGAAGACACAGCTCTGAGCAAAGATAGAACAGATGCTAGTACCAAAGGTTAGGATTTATCTTGCTCACTAGTTATTAACATTGTGGACATCTGATGAGGATTGTTAGACACCATTCTTATCTATTCTGCTTTTTTGGATTGCATGGGTTTTTGTGAAGTGATCAGCCTACATCATCAATGATTTTTGACATTCAAGAATAGGAAACAACCTTGAAGCAGTGCATTGTACAACTTGAAAGTGTAGATGTGGTGAGGATACCATTGAATCAATTGAAAGATCTCATTGAGTAGGTATTGAGCTAGCACACTTTTCATTATCTTCCAAATTTTTTGTCTCGTTACATAATCCTCATGCATTTCAAAACTGTCTTTCTTGTTTCTATAACAAGAGTCAATGTTAGATGTTCTGCTCTAGCATGCTGGTTTCCCCTTCACTTGCACTAGTTGTGCTTGTCATCACTGCAAAAGCCAATAAGGCAAGGCTGCTTGGAGTTGATGCAGGTGGGGAACTCCTTGCTCACCATGCAGTACCTCCAGCACCGTTTGCAGTCCCTGAGCACTAGCACCAAGCTTTCATCCGATGAAATGTCTGATGATACACATGAGCTAGACGACGATGAGTCATTGTCGTTGCCACTATCAACCTCTACCCTCATTGTGTGTAGTGCTAGGCATAGCAATAGGTCCAACTATGTGCTCCTCGCACTACTGGCTCCAGAGACGCACTTTTGCTAGAATGGTGCATTTGACCATGTTGTTGGTAGGTGGTCTTTTTCAAGAAGGTAAATGCAGAAAAATCCTTTTAAATGCTAGGACAAATGTTTGTTGCATTGGTTTGATAGGTTGGCATCACCAAATAAATGTAGAAGAACCCAAGGATCTATTCAAATTCATAGTAATGTGTTTCAAAGAAACCTTGAAAAGAACTTCTTGAAGGAATAAAGTCTACCATATTGTTTAAAAAAACCTTGAAAAGAACTTATTAATTAGAGAATCTTGACAGCTATAATCATTACTACCACAACATTAAGAACCACCTAGTCCACACCCCATACAAACACATAAAAACCTGCAGCATATAGGAAGCTAAGCTTTGACTCTACCAGCCCACTACTAATCCAAATAGACGCACTTCTACTATAGATCTCATTTCCCCTCGTGCATCTGCTCCCATCAATATTGTTTACCCACATTCATGCGTAGGGACATCTACTATCACCACATTTTTCTAATTTGTGCTTGATCAACATTTTGATGAAGACACAGCTCTAAACCAATTTAGGAGTACCGTTAGTGTTCTTGAGATGATAAGTAAAGATAAAAAAGATGCTAGTACCAAAGGTAAGGATTTATCTTGCTCACTAGTTATTAACATTGTGGATATCTGATGAAGACAGACACCATTCTTATCTATTCTGCTTTTTTGGATTGCATGGTTTTTTGTAAGGTGATCAACCAGCATCATCATTGAGTTCTGACATTCAAGAATAGGAAACAACCTTGAAACAGTGCATTGTACAACTTGAAAATGTAGATGTAGCAAGGATTCCCTTGAATCAATTAAAAGATCTCATTGAGTAGGTCTTGAGCTAGCACACTTTTCATTATCTTCCAAATGTTTTGTCTCGTTACATGTGCCTCATGCATTTCAAAACTATCTTTCTTGTTTGTTTCGGAGGAGTCAATGTTAGATGTTCTTCACAATAGTTGAAAGTAATAATTATTCTTTATGCGCTATTGCTAGTTTGTTGGCTTTTCATCTATTGTCTTTCCTTGCAAAATCATGTCCTATGCCATTCTATTTTATTTTGAATTCACTCTTAATGTCTAATTTAGTTGGGTTTATTAGGTCACAAAGAATTGCTGCATATTAAGGGATTGATAATTATTCTTCTTATGATGCTTATCTTTCTTTTACTAGCCTTTTTATAATATATTTTGAAGCTCTAGGTTCTATTCTTTACCTTTGGTCTGCCCTAGGTCGTCCTGCCCATAAGTATATTATTTCCTATATGACTTTTGGATAATTTGCATAATTTGCCTTTGTGATGGAAGGCAGTCCAACTGTGGTTTGCTTGGTATATGTTTGTTGCACATTTCTGTCTACCTGGGTGCTTGAATGTTCTGGATAGTCTTTTGAGGTCTGCTTTGCATTTTGGTCTCGACTATCTGTGCATGGTGATGTTTTTCCAAACCAAAATAACCCTTATGATACTAGAAATGTCCTGTCAAACATCTAGCCTAAAAAAGTCTCTTTATTATGTTGTATATGCTTTCTAGCTTTGTTAGGTGTACTAATTTGGAGCAGCAACAGATTGGAGCAAAGCCCGCGCAACTACCAATATGATGCAGGTAAACCAAGCACTAGGTCCATTTACATCACATCCACAGCCATGACCATCTCTATTGTCACCACTTCTACAACAGTTTGGTCAAAATACTAGAGGAATGATGGGAATTGGAGGACCTTTTGGGATGATGGCCATCTTCGCCTCCATTATTGTCGAACATTCACTACTACAGATTGACCTATCACCAACACTTTTATCACCGCCGGTATCATTAAAACCGTTAGTGATAGCTATCATCAACGGTTCGTAATATGAACTGTTGGTGATGAGAGTACCACTGCTGATTCGTAAGAACGTGCGGGTTGATAACTATCACCGCCACTTTGTCTTACCAACCGGCAATGATAGTCCATCATCACAGCTGCTTTGCACCACCAACCAGCGGTGATAATGTGCTCCTCATCACTGCCACCTCGCCATATGAACCAGCGGTGAAGAAATTTTCACCGCCTGGTTGTTGTATGATACGGCGGTGATAACCATGCTGCATTATAAATAAATTCATAACTTTTTTTCAAATAAAGTTAGATGAAAATAAACTTTATATAAAAGTTGTAGCCCTTGACGAGATCGACAACTTTGTAGTTGATGACTTTTTCATTTGAAACCATTTACGGTCCTAGAATTCTGTTTAAAGCACTCAAATTTTCAAATTCAAAATTTTCAAATTGTACAAACGACCTTAGATGAAAAAATGACCAAAACTAGAGTTGTAGATCTCGATGAAATATACAACTTTGTAGTTGACAACTATTTCATTAGAAATCATTTATAGTCTCAAATTTGTATCTGAAGTTTTAAAATTTTAAAAACCAAAATTTTCAAACAACCTTGGATGGAAAATCGGCCAAAACCAAAGTTGTAGATCTCGATGAGAACAACAACTTTGTAGTTGATGAGTTTTTCATTTGAAATCATTTGAGATCCCAAAAGTCTGGCTGAAGTTTTGACGTTTTGACTTTCAAATTTGTTAAACGACCTCGATGGCGAAACAACCAAAATCAAAGTTGTAGATCTCGATTAGAACAACAAATTTGTAGTTTATGACTTTTTAATTTGAAGCCGTTTATGGTTCTAAACATTTATTTTAAATTTTAAAAAGTAAATACTAGAGGAATAGATATGCTATATAGATACAAGTGACTTAGGGGTGGAGTGGTTAGAGGAGCAAAGGACAAAGGTCTTAGGTTCGAATCCTAGCACAGTGTATCATGAAAAATCTAGAGCAGCTTCCTAGTACCATGTAGCTGGAGCTAGTGGGGGGCTTACTAGGATTAAAACAAATTTTTTTGCTCTTTTTTTGGCCCGATTTTGGAAATTTTCAAAATTCAAATCACTGCCGGCTGATAATACAAATCGACTGTGATAAGCTATTATCATCATGGGTTGCAAACCGCCTATGATGAGAATGTCATGTCCACCAACAGCTTACCGTCGAGACCAAAAAACGCTAGTGATGGGCTTTACGAACCGCTTGTGATAGGTCTGAATGAATGTAGTAGTGATTATATGAAATGTTTTTTAGGATACAAGTGATTATGTGAATGTCACACCCTAAAATTTTCAATTTTGGGTTGTGCATAGAAAATACTAGATATAAAATAAATGATTTCAATGTTGATATAAAATTTCTCAAGATTAATTTAAATTTATGCAAATTTAGATGAAAAAATGGTTTTCCCAATTTTCAAATTTAATTTAGTGGGTTTCTTCTTGACTCATGACTTTGTATTGTGAGTAAGTAAAGTTTTCAAAATGCATTTAGTAAGTCAATCTTCCTTCTCAGCATGTCTTAATCTTTTTTTTTGATCAAATTTCTTGTTTTCCAACTTAATCTTTTCCTATGGAATTATCCCAGAAAACTTTCCATGTAATCAAAATCACTTCTTTATGCTCACCATTCGTCAACCTATCTCTACAAACCTCTTGGGAAATTTTCTAGCTTTTCTAGAACTTGTTCCCACTTTTCTGCAAGCATAATCTAATTTTAAATGCTCCAAAATATCTTTACATGAGCTCCAAATATTTTATTTCAGTTCTTCATCCTTCAATCCATCTTCAGGATTTTCGAGGGATTTTTCTAAGCTTCGGAGTACTTTTCATGATATAAACGGTAATTCTAGATTTCCTAGAATCATTTTTATTCCATGAAATTATTTAATTTCGAAATTAGAAAAATTCTAAAATCCTAAAGAATCTTAAAGACCTATGTCTTTATTTACTAATGGGCTTAAATTATTATTTAGGCCCATTAGTAGGTGGAGGCAGTGTGACATCAATTAATACCATATTGCTAATTAACGTAGAGGTGCGGAGTTCTTCTGCATATATATATATATATACACACACGTACCAACCCCTTAGGTAATACACATAAAAACTATCGTAACGGGAGCTTCTTGTTTGGAAATTGCTAAGGTAGTAAATTAGATTTTTTTTTTGTCCTTTCTCTACTACGTTGTCTCCAACGTCTCTCCTGGACCCTTGCGTCAGCATCGCCAATCCGCTGTTTCCAGCTCTCGGCAGCAGTGTCATCGTCTCTTTTGTTGGCTGACTTCTCGCCGTTGTCCATCCCTCGCTGGAGCATGCGGAACAAGCCTTCATGGAGAGAGCAATCTTGCTAGTCATCGTCGCTAGTTCAACCTACACGAGTCAGCAATTAAGCGCCGTCGCCATGCATGTCTCGGAGAGCAGGTGCACCATATCCATGTCCTACACGTTTACATACGACCATGCTAGTTGGCACAAAATAGATCCATATCATATTGAATAGTATCCAACAAAATTTATGTTAATTTCTAATAAATTTTAAGGTATTAACGCAAGGTATAGTTCAAGTGTTTGGCTTTAACGTGGGGCTCTCATGTTGATCTAGGAGTGCTAATTGTTGCATTGAATTGTCTACAATAAATTTTAGCTAACTTTGATAAAATTAAATAGTGTGAACATAAGATTTTAGATCTAGGGGGGTCTGAACTTTAATGCGGTAATGATACCCTCAGGGCGTTCATTCGTCCGCATCTCGCGCCGTGCGTGCCCCTACGCCTCACGCCTTGTGCCGGACCCGCCTCGCGCCGTGTGCCCCTGCGCCGTGCGCCTCGCACCGAACCCGTCTCGCGCTACACGCACCCCGCCTATGCCTCGCGCCATGCGCCGTCCGCGCCTCGCGCTCCCACGCCACGTCCTAGCCTCTATTGGGATATAACAAGTAGATGAGCACATGTTGCAAACGTAAGTTTCATGCGTTTCAGATGTATGTTGCATATGTTTTATTCGGATGTTGCAAAAGTAGATCTAGTATTGCA